GGTATCTAGTCACGTTAGAAAATTTTAACATATACTAATGGTTTTGTCTACTTTAGATATATTTATTTCCTACTTCTATAAATTTAAGGATTTATCTCCTATTAAAATTTGATTTAAAAGTTATTTATTGATGAAAAATACTGTGTATTTTCTTTTTTTCTTTTTTAATATAACAATTACAATGCCGCCATATAAGTAAGATGATGCTATAATTACATTAATACTTAGAATTATAAATTTATTATAATAATATATTATGTTATATTTATGAACCATATATATAATATTATAAATAATTTCTTTTTTATAAATAGGATCAATATAATAATTAAACATGTTATATATTACAACGCCAGTAAGCCGGCGCCCGGCCGTTTTTGTGTGAAGCCTTACTCGACGGGTTCCGACCAGTCTAGCCTTAATCCCACTCACTGTTTCAGTCACTCCTTTCCGTCTTTGCATTTGTTCCCAGAGAACCAAAACACCTGAAAAACTGGTCTTCCTGTAGAGCTGTACGTTGCTTTTCTCTGTAATTAACTCCTTCAATTCAATCACATTTCCAAAGTTCCAACTCTCTATTCTTAAACCTTCCTACTCCCTTCCTCTTCCCCTTCAACAACACAATTCTCTTAAAAAAAAGAACGTAGAAATTTAAGACCAGACAAGTTTCTCTGTTTTGTTCTGTTCCTTTCGTTTAAGAATTGGGTTTTGAATTGAGTTTCTGTTCAGTAAGGAAAAAATGTGTTCTGTCTTATCGATGGTGAAAATGGTCTCTTTTCTGCTTTTCGGTTTTTTGGCGTTGAATTGTTTCATTGGGTTTGGATCAAACGTGCAACTGTTGCCGGAGCAGAAGGTCTGTACTGAAATTTCGTAATTTCGTTTAACGTCTATTTGTATTGGAGGATTTGGAAAGGGGGGGAGAGTGAGGAGTATATATATTTTTCTTTATTAATGGAGAAAGAGGGAGATGAAGGGGCGATGGAGCCTCCCCACTCACCTGTTTCCCATCCTTAGAAATTGGCAGGATTGCAATGGTTTTTGGGTTTAATATTTAATATTTTTTAATTTTTTTAAAATAAATATATAAAATTATTTTTAATTAATAAATTTAAAATATTTTATTTTTAAAAAATTATTTAATTAAAAAATATTATCTTTTTTTCTTTTATTTTTATCTATCTAAATAAAATTAATAACTATGTTTTTTTTCCCGGGTATTTCCTTGCCATTACCATCCCCTCTCCTCTCTTTACTAATTTTTACTCATTTTTATTCAAATAAACGTTGGTTGCAGTTTTTGGTCAATCATAAGCTTTTATTTCAACGGTTGTATTTTTTTCTCCTTGTTTGGTTCTCGAGAATATGAGGGAAATGAGAAGAAATTTTAAGACTTTCGAGTATTAATTCTTTGTCATTATCATTATATTAGGAAGTTATGGGTGTAACTACTTTTTTAACATTTTCCTTTTGCTTTTACTGTCCAATTGTTAGAATTTTTCTGTTTGGTCAGAGAGAATTTAAAGGAAAAGTATATTCTATTTTGTTCGAATTTCTTAGTGTTTTGAGGTTGTACTGTAGAATAAAAGTGGAGTTTAATAATTAAAATTATTAAAATGTTATTACTAAAATAACATCAAAAAAATCATTAGTTTTATTATGCAGTGTGATTTGAAAAACATTTTTTCAAATTTGATATCCTTCAATTTCTCAAGTAGATCGATTTTTTCGGGATAACGGCTAGTTTATTTGCATAAGTTTCTTGGATGAAGTGATAACTGTTGTAATGTCACTTTGAAAGTTTCTCCTTTTTTTTTTATTAATTCAAAGTAAGGTTCTTTGCATATGATTTCCCTTGTCAATTCCTATGGTCTTTTCCCATTTTTTGTCGTTTTAAAAGCTTCATTGCTTGTTGTAATATCACCTACAAAGGTTTCATTTTCTTAGTAATTCAAAAATTGTCACTAGGAAAAAAAAAAATGAACTTTCAAATCAATACCAATCTGTTTGAAGAACATGATAAAGATTGTTACTGAACTTTGTTCTAATCTATGTTAGGTGTATTTGGGCATTAAGAGTCATGTTTATACAGAATTTAAGTGCTCGACATGGTCCGGGCACTGGTTCAATAGAATAAAATGAAGAGTTAGTGCAACAATGGTTCTCATCCACTGATTTTATTTCTATGGTGGAGAAATGATAAATATCTTTACTTTGGCTCCTGCATCATTATGGCATGGTTTTGTTTTGTAAGTGCAAGAAAAATATCAGAACATTATTAATTATTGGCCATCTTCTCACCAAATTACTTGTCCCTGATCTCCTTTGTCTTCATAACAGCATTAATTTGAAGCCATGTGCCATTTGCTGTGTATAGCTCTGACAGGTATGGTCAAATTTAGTTGCCTTCTCCAATAATTTTTAAACTTTAAATAACCTTTAATTAAGTAGGCAAAGAGGATTAGTAGAATTGCCGACTAAGTTCCCCTTCTTTTTTTTTTGAGTTATCAAGTTCATGAATGAGAGATTATTTCTTTTTTGTTGTCAAAAGCAATTATTGCTTGCTGGAACTGATTATTTTATTAACTTGTTATCAGATTAATATTCATCAAAGATTGTTATAGACTTATTTTTAACACTTCATAATTGTGTGTCGCTAATTGCTTTATGCCTTGAATTTAACAGTCCAAACTCTTCAAACAGTATTCAGCAAATTGCAGCACAACAGAGGGACTGTTAGTCGAACATCTTGCACTGATGGTGGATGGAATTATGTCACTCTTAATAGTGATACGATTGATATCTTAAGCAACATTACATGTGATTGTTCCCATGGAAACAACACTATATATCATGTCACCAACATGTATGGCCTCATTGCCCTTTATGTAATATGTGCATTTATATATATGTCTATGTATTCATAGATTATATACCACTCTTATATCTATTCTGCTCATACAGCAGAACTGCTCTCTATAAAGAACATGTCATAACATTATTACTTATCATATTGCATTCTAAAGTTGGTGAGGGTAAGCACATTCAATATCCTTCCTCTACTTGATGGTATATCATTGTTGTATTTCCTTATCATATTCACTCAACTACTTCAATTTTATTTAGAATTTACCAGCATGGCAACATTGTGGATCTAGCTTGTTTATAGTAAAGTTTCCGTTTTAATTTTTAATACCATATAAATAGTCTTGATATGTTGTGCCACAAAGATTAAAACTTTTCCATTGATTTTTCCCAATTCAGCAGTATGAAAATGTCATTAAATGAAGGGTTTTTCTAACATGTGCCGTTAGTTAAGAGTCCTGAAAAAATAAAAAGTAACATTTAATTTATCAACCTTCTAATTAAATTTATCTCACATGGTATTAACTCAAAAATTAATAATTATTTTTATATTTTTCTATACAAATTTATTACAAAAAGATACCCTTAACTTGTGCCTTAAGACACATGTTAAAAAAATCCTTAAATGATTAATGCTGACTATTTTTGTTCCCTGTTCTGATCAGTCTTATTGATAGACTTATTATATAGTACTAAGTTATTAGTGTTTCTTAAATTATTTATTTTCTTCCCATGACAGGCACCTCAAGGGTCTCAATTTAACTGGAAGTCTGCCATCTGAATTTGAAAATCTTACTCATCTGACAGAACTGTAAGTCAGAGATGCTCCAGTGCTGGAAGACATTCTTTTACCTAGTGGTTCATTAGCTCATACATTTTATGCATAGATATGCAAATGTCAAATGTCAAGTTTTCTATATATATAATCTATATATCTCTTTTCTAGTTATGATTTTTGAGAATGTTTTGACCACGTTTTAATGACAATTCAAAATCCTATTGCTGTTAACTATCTCAGTTGAATATCACTCTTTTGATTTGGTGGTTATCTGGATTGTAAATGCTAACCTAAGCTTCCATTTTTTAAACAGTGATCTGACTCGCAACTATCTTAATGGTTCAATCCCATCAACTATCTTAATGGATATTTCACTTTAAAGCAAATTAAGGCCGCTACTGATAACTTTAATCCTGTGAATAAGATTGGTGAAGGAGGATTTGGGCCTGTCTACAAGGTAATAATCGAAATGAATTTTTTTTTTTTTTTGTTTTGCTAAAAGCATGACATTCCTAAGCTTGTTGCTGACAAGGAAAAGCCTATCATCTCTGTAAACTAACAGATTTTTTACATTACTTGATTATAGGGTGTACTGTCAGATGGTGTGGTGATTGCAGTCAAACAGCTATCCTCTAAATCAAAGCAAGGGAACCGAGAGTTTTTGAATGAGATTGTAATGATTTCTGCATTACAACACCCAAATCTTGTGAATCTTTATGGCTGTTGTACTGAAGGGAATCAGCTGTTGCTAGTATATGAATACATGGAAAACAATAGCCTTGCTCGGGCACTTTTCGGTGATTCTTCACTCACTTTTCAAATGTGATTTTGTAGAATTTTTTAATGGAAATTATGATCAAACTCTCCACTCACGTTGTTGATCTTCCTCTTCAGGTTGTGAAGAACACCGTCTTAAATTGGATTGGCCAACAAGGATGAAAATATGCTTGGGAATAGCTATAGGTTTAACTTATCTTCATGAAGAGTCGAGATTGAAAATTGTTCATAGAGATATAAAGGCAACAAATGTCCTGCTTGATAGGGCTCTAAATGCCAAGATATCTGACTTTGGATTAGCCAAGCTCGATGAAGAAGAGAATACCCATATCAGCACAAGGATAACGGAACAATGTGAGTTCTCTTGTTTCCTGCTTCTTTTAGATCCTTAGCTAAACTCCTATCTGTTTTAGATGATTAACATTGTTTAAGATGCTTGTTTTCTCTGGCCTAATATTCTTGCTTCTATTTTCATGTAGTGGTTATATGGCCCCAGAATATGAAATGAAGGGTTATTTAACTGACAAGGCAGATGTTTACAGTTTCGGAGTTGTTGCTTTAGAGATTGTAAGTGGGAAGAGCAACACAAGTTACCTGCCGAAGGAGAACTTTTGTTTATCTTCTTGATTGGGTATTTTATACTCATCTCCTCCCACGTGTAATTTGTTTACTTCTCAGTGATGTTTCTTGGCTAACATTTAGTCTTGATGTGTTTAAAGGCCTATGTCCTGCAAGAGCACGGAAATCTTCTGGAGCTTGTGGATCCAAACCTTCGTTCAGATTACTCAACCAAAGAAGCATTGAGGCTGCTAAATCTAGCTCTCTTGTGCACCAACCCATCTCCCACACTTAGGCCATCCATGTCTTCTGTAGTGAGCATGATTGAAGGCAAGACTGCTGTCCAGGCCCCAACAGTCATGCGCAGCAACATGAGCCCAGACTCACAGGTTCGACTCAAAGCCCTGGAGAGACTATCACAAGACAGTCAGGCTCCTAGAAGCATGTCAATTGAAGGACCCTGCATTGATTCCTCTTTT